AAGGTGTGGGAAAGACAAGAGGTGGTGCTGGGGGATTGCCCTTGGCCACAACTGAAGGAGACATTGGGAACTTCCTGTGTACAATGCCAGGAACTATTCTCAGGCCCAGAGCATGCTTGCAAAATTCTTTTGCAAGGCAGTCTGATGTGCTTATCAGTGTCAGCTGTGCTTTTGGCAAGGGAAGACCCAAAAATCAGCAATCCAGGGAAGGAGATACAGAGAAGTAACTCCCTTTGGTCCCAACTCCAATTTCAGCAGACTTGGAGGAGAGGGTAGGCTTTGCCATGGGAAAATCCCAATACTAAGCATCATCCAAAGTTGATGTAAGGTGATGACCAGTAGGAAGAGCTTGGGAAAGCTGAAGGGTGATACTCACCAGCCAGTCTGGCCTGGAGCTGAAGCTTTTGATACCATCCTTCTTGAGCTGCTCCTTGCTCAACTTCTAGCAAAGCCTGTTTGAGGCCATTACCATCACATCCACAAAGCAAGACTGTAGATTTCCTGCTAGTGGAGTTGAGTGTCTCCCTGCTCATCACTAGTTTAGACTTCTCTAGGTCATTGGGTATCTTGGGTACCTAAAGTGTGTGCTGTTGATAGGGCCACAGATTAGGTATTGATAGGAAGTATTTGCATCTGCCTTGGCAGTGAGATGGAAGCAGGATGGGGCTCGCTTTTCTTACTGAGCAGACCTACTGGCCATTCGGGAGACAGGCTCTGATCTTAGGATTCTGGAAGCCGCAACATGCTGCCCCCCACACTTGCTGCCACCCAAATGTGACCACTCCAACCAATGTCCACAACTCCTCCACCTGGGCCCATAATTCAACCACTTGAGTTTCTTATTGTACTCCTACAGAACACTCAGCATTAGATACACCTCAGCTCTGGGCCAAGTGTATGTCTAGGATCATTCACATTTATCAACTCTGGGGTAGACATGAGTTATGAAAACTAAGACCTCAGACATTAAGTGTCCTGCCCCAGTCAATGCTTCTGGGACTTGCATCCAGTATAGTCACCCAGAGGGCTGTGAAAACACAAGACTGCTGAGTACCAGCTCCAGAGTTTCCGCTTTGCTTGGTCTGGGGTGGGAACCAAGAGGGGAGACTGAGGACCACATTGAAAACTACTAGATTATATCAAACAGTTGGGGCATCCTGGGGCATGGTGTGAATCCAGTTCTGTCAGATCCTAAACCCTGAGTCACTGTAGCTGATAAGAGTCACCTCATGTGTTGTGTCCTGACTGAGCCATGTTTCCACATGCTGGGTTTGTCTGCCTGGATGACTTCTTTTCCTCCTGGAACACCCCACCTGGGGTTCTCCCTGTAGCTGCCTCTGCCTGCCCTCCAGGACTCAGATAAGGCTTCTTTTCTTAGCTCTGGCCCACAGATTAGCAGCTCCTCCCTTGTGATTCTGGGATTTCCCTAAGTCCCTGTTGGGGTTCTGCTCCTGCCATGGACCCCTAGAGTGTGCTTAGCATTCATCCCTTGCTGCAGGTGCCACCATGTGCCATCTGTGAGGCATCCAGGAACTGTTGGGGATATTCCAGGGTGAATGATTTTATTGAGATGCACGGTGCACTCCAGGTTGACGGAAACCCCACCTGTAGGCGGCAGGTGTGTCCTTTGTCTCTCTGTGCTGTGGGTACCTGGGCACTTGTTAGCAGTTGCTGCTGAAGAGAGTGGTTCAGAGAAGTGTTCTGTTATGCAGCCTCATCCTGGCAAAGACTGCTTTCCATCCAGGTGGGCATTCTAGCTGGCTTCAGCATCTGTCCTGGCTCCAGCATCTGCTTGGCTGGCCGTCATTGCTCTCCTTGTCAAACTGCACTCTGACAAGAGGATGACTTCCCAGGGAGGTGACAGCTTTGGTGTGTTCCTGCCAGCTCCTGCTGGCTTCCCAGATAGCCCCTTATAGTTTTGGTTTTTTTGTGTTTTTTTTAGTACCGGGGATGGAATTCGGGTCCTTGTGCTTACGCATGAGGCGGTGAAACCACTGAGCTAAATCCCTGGCCTACTCCTTATAATTTTATTCACCCTGAAATGTGATGCTAGTCCCTACTGTGTGCAGGGCGTGCTAGTGAGCTAGGAAGTCCTTGTTAACAGAGAGAGGACATCTGGGAGGGGAGCTATTGCTGCACATATTTGCAGCTGTGAGAGCTGATGGATCTGGCCTTGGGGTCCCAGTGGTGAGTCTGGTGCAGGGAAGATACTTTGGGGCTGGAACTATGATTCACACTGGGACAGAAAGGTACAGGGAACCGTACCTTTCCTTTTCTCTGCCTTCTTGTCACCCAGAGAGTTTCCCCGAGCTTCTGGCAATGGCCACCATTGTGCATAAATACCAGGGCAGAGAGGAAATCTCCATTTCGAATGTGGGGATGTGCAGGAGTGTAGAGCTCCCAGAAGTTAGGCATTCATCCCGTGCTCATGGAAACTGCAGTAATTTAGAGTAGTTCAGTATTTAGACTCAACTGTGTAATTCATCCTGATGTTTCCCATTCATCAAAGCCTTGTGTTTGTTTGTATTACCATGAGAAAAATAAAAAAAGTGGGGAGGGAGGTTCTTCCTTTCATTACAGACAGATGATGACAGAGTTGCAACCCTTGGGGTCCTTCAAGCAAAGGAACATCTTGCTTCAATTAGATATAAATAATGAACAATAATTAGAAAGATTTCTTCATCGAATTTGTTATTTTAAGTTTCCTTTCATCTGCAATGTTTTGAAACAAATACTGAACTCAGATGCTATGCCATGTAGCTGGGACCAAAGGAATGCCGTGGAGAGGATACCCAAAGCTGGAGGAAATGAGACTCACCACTGGCCCTTCTGTGTGTCCGCTGTGAAGGCTGCTGTCGGCCTGGGCCCAGGGCCATGGATGCAAAGACAGGGCCGCCTCAGCACCAGGCCTCCTGATTTTTACAGTCTACTGGGGACCCAGATGTCTAATCCCAGCTTTGAATCATTGCTTCCAGTGCCCGAGTACCCACTGCACCAGGCATGTAATTGTAATCTCATAGTGGACCTCTGCTTCCACCCCCAATTTGCAAAGGTTTAGAAACAGGCACAGGGACTTTAGTTCACTTGTCTGGATCCATAGTATTAATGACTGTAGGAGGTGAGGAGGCAGCTGGAGTCTGGGCTCCCACTTACCCTACCCCTGTGCTGCCCCCTGACATCCCAGGGAAATCTTGCTGTTTGTGAGGTGCAGAGATGCCACCGAAAAGTGGCATCTCTTGGGGTACCTTCCCTGGGGGAAAGGCAGCAGCTGGATCTTTGAGGGGCCTGTAGAAGTGTGGGGGTGCGCAATGGAGATACAGAGATACTAGGCAGAGGGAACAGCACAGCTTGGCACCATGGATTGGGAGTGGGTGGTCTTTCTGAGATAGGCTATGGTGCTGTGTGGGTTTGGGACAACTGCCAGAGAGGAGGCCAGAAGATGGAGGGTTGTGTAGATCAGGTAAGGAAGATTGGCTTTTCCCTGGGGCATAATGATTCAGTAGAGGGATAGGTAATGATGAGAGCTGATGAAGAGGTAAGAGTGAGGTTTCCAGTAGAGAAATAAATAAAGAGTAATCAAGCTGGAGCCTGGCTCTCCACTGGAGTTTTTGAGTTTTGCAAATCTGTCTGGCTTGTGACATTCTCTCAACACACCGCTGGGTAATGCTCTTTCAGGAGCAAGTGAAAACTTTGTACCAATTGGTCCTTCCTGCTCTCACTACAGATGGGCCCAGTTAATGATGGTTCAACTTATGAATTTTTGACTTTACTATGGTACCAGAGCAATAAGCAGCCAGTAGAACTGCACTTCGAATTTTGAATTTGGATCTCTTCCCAGGTTAGTGGTATGTGGAGCAATCCTTTCTTATGGTGCTGGACAGCGACAGCAAGCCACAGCTTCCCCTCAGCCTCTGGATCACAAAGGGAGACAACTGGCACTCTGGAGGGTGCTGTGTGGACAGAGATTTTTGGATATGGGTATTTGGTAACTTGCCTGGGAAATTCAATACTCTCTTACAGGCTTTGTGTTGTATCATTTTGCCCAACTCCAGGCCAGTGCAAGTGTTCTCAGTATATTTAGGGTGGACTAGGCTGAGTTATGATGTCTGATAGGTTAGGTGTATTTAACACATTTTCAAATTATAATGGGTGTATTGGGTCGCAACCCCATTATGAGTTGAAGACATGTGCATTTCTCCTTCCAAAAAGAAATCTTGTCCTCTGTCACCAGCTCTTCCTGAGCTGCTGGTGGGATTTTCTGATGCACTCTGTTCTTCCACCATGAACCAAGCTTGATCTACCTGCCTCTCCTCCACCTACAACAGACCCAAGGCCTCAGAAATGCTGTGTCTAATCTTCAGTACCTTATAAATAATTGCAACATTTGAAAATCAGGAAATCTTACATAAAAATCTGATTTTCTTTATTAAAAAAATAAGTTGCCTGGGGTGGGATATTCAAAGTCAGTAATTGGTGGAATCCCAGTGCATCTGCAAGCTTTGGCAGGGATGCCTCTTCATTGACACAGCCTCTTAGTATGTGCCTGCCATACGCAGCACTGAGTGTCAGGGGCCAGCCTTCGTCATCATCACTATCTTGCCAACATGGTTCTTTCCTATTCAGCCTTTGTGGGCTTTGAATTGGAGACCTTTACTAATTAGTGTCTTGTGGTACCCTACTCTTACATTGTCTAGATGTCTACAGCTGACTCTAAGCTCCCCGAAGGCAGGAATCATGTGTTACTCATCTTTGTATCCTGGGAGCTCAGCACAGAATCTATTATTACATATGCTGTGGCCTAGATGAAACACACCTATGATACTCTGAGGCCTGGCAAGTCCTGCTCTGTGTTTGAAGGGCTTCTGCTTTGGACTTTAGGTATGAAGAAGGCAGGTGGTAGGCCACTGCAGGCATGGTGCTCAGAAGAACGGGTGTGGGGGGGTCCTCTTACATCTCATGAGTGCATGGGCAGCATGTATCCATGCTTCTCTGCATTTCAGGACATTTCAGGACCTGTCCAAACAAGTGGAGATGTCTTATGGCACTGTCCGGGATTCTGCTGTTTATGAGTACTTCCGTGCCAAGGGCACCAACCCCCTGGAGCAGGACAGTACATTTGCCGAGCTCTGGAGGACCATCAGCAAGAACGGAGGTGCTGACAACTGCGTGTCCAGTCCTTCGGAAGGCATCCGGAAGGTAAGTGGGAGTCATACCAGGCATATGTGTGGGGGTGGGGCCATGCATATGTTGTCCTTAAGGTCTGAGACACCTTCCCAAGATTCATCTGTCTTGGAGAAGCCCTGTCACTTGGAGGGTGACCCACTATTGTGTTCTTCAAGCAGATTCCCATTTTTGGCTGCAGAAGTGGAGCCCTGCTCCTTAGCTGCCTTTCTGTGTTTCTGAGGAATGCTGGCTGGGCAAGAGTGGGCAAGTTTAGTCAGAGGTTTGGCTGTCCTCCTCATGGGCATGACGAATGATGGCACAGCAGGCCTTGCCCACTGTGCTGAGAATGCTTAGTAAAAGCAGAAGTATAGTGCTAGGCACAAGGTGGATGGAGTGGTGAGCAGTATCAGGAGAAGGGCAGAGAGGCCATCAGCCTGTTTCAGGTGATTTCCCACAGTGACCTGCACTGAGCGCCACTGTCACATATACAGATGAGGATCAGAGACAGTCACGCCTCGGGTTAGATTCTGACTCTGGGATGCATTAGAGTTCAAGCTCTGGTGTTGGCATTGATCTGCCATATACTGCTGTATGGCCTTTCAGTGAGGAGGATATGGTGGGATGAAGACAGGTGTCATGGAAGCTGCTGCTGGTGGTGTGGTTCCGTCCAGGGACCCCCCTCATGCAATGGCTGCAGTCTCTCATGTCACTGCTGCAGATGTGAAACAGATGTGCAGCCCCAAGGTCAGCACTGCCACCATCTCTCTGCCCAGCTGTCTGTGTTGCAATTTATTCTCCCATTCTTCCTTTCCTCCCACTCTGTAGAACCTTCTCCCTCCCTCCCTCTTCCCCTCCCTTCTGTTCAATCTCTCTCTCTCTCTCTCTCTCT